ATAAGCACACATGTCCCTATGTATCTCTTCCTAATATGCCTCCTTTCTGCCTCCTCTCCTTCTCCAAATCCTACCCACCCTGCAAAGCCCAGCCTGGAATCCACCTAGAATCCATTCCAGAAACTCTTCCAACACTTGACCAACATTATCTGTGAACCTGCTATGTTCCGGGGACTGTGATAGGAAGTGAAGGTGAGAGTGGACACAACGATTCACCATTCATGGTTCTCACATTTAAAGAGCTCACATAACAGGGAAGCAGTGGGAGGGACTAAAATAATTATTAATATACTGTATTAATAATATAATAATAATAACAGTTAGTTTTAAAAATGAACTTACAATATAAACTATGCTCCCAGTACTGTCTAAGCACTTTAAAATAAACCATCCATGAGGTAGATACCAATGTTGTACTGTTCGACAGGTTGGAAAACTGAGGCACCTAACCTGCCCAAGGTCACACAGCCCAGTGGTAGAAGCAGGACTGGAACCCACGCAGTTGGCTCCATGTCCAGGTGCTGAGCTGCCCAGCACACTGCAGCCAGTGGCCACAGCGCACCAGGTCTGCTGTCAGGTGGGGTAGGATACCCCCTTCCCCTCTGAGGTGTCACAAGTGCTTGCTTTTCATGTTTATCCAGGGGCGGAGACAAAGCTGGGCAGTGAGCACGGAGCACTCACACCTGATGTCCCCCATTTCCAGGAAACAGAGGATTAGAGAAGTTAAGAAATCGCTCACATCTCTCAGCTAGTCAAAGCAGAAGCAGGATTCAAACCCAGACCCTGCAGTTCTGGAACCCATATCCGTACTAGAGGTTCTTCTGCCTGCAGCTCCAAGAGCCCCTGTTTGTCTGATCCCTGCCTCCCTCCTAGGGAAGGGCTGAGGTTACCGTCATCTTTGAGTGACAGCTGAGCCCACGGGCTGGGCTGAGGTAACATGCTGAAGTCAGCATGTGTCTGTGCAGCCCGAGGGCAGGATCCCTGAGGGTGGGGCTGCTGGAAGTGGTTTCATGTTCCTCCTTCCCT